ACTTTAGTTGCCATTTTGCTCTGTAGGAGCTTTATTTATATACAGACCATTTAGTTATTGTCCAGATCAGACTGACTATGGACAATTTACTTTCTTAGCGACTTCCTATTTTTTACATAGGCTCAGGATCTTGAGTTTTCACAACTCAAATAATACAAGCTTGCAGAGCAGGGGTGTCAAACTGGCAGCCCTTCAGCTGTTGCAAAACTACAAGTCCCATCATGCCTCTGCCTTTAGGAGTCATGCTCACAACTTTCAATCTTGCAATGCTGATTTAGTTGAGGACTAAATTGTCCAGTGCTTATCTGCTCCTGTCCTAATTTATCATTCTAGCTTTGGAATGTGCGCACACTGGAAGAGACTCATGCTGACACACAAGTTCAGTCTATGATCACTTCTAGTTTATTATAATGAGAAAGTGAGCTTATATATGCAAAATGATGCAAGAGTCATGTGAGGACAGCATAAGCATTATATTAGTCTTTGGTCATTTCCACACGAAAACAATCTCCGTCATGGTATAGGTGTGATCTTCTTCCAAGTCTTATCTTATAGAAAGAAAAACATTCCTTTGTCTCAAGTTGGCACGATGGGAGGGGGTCGGTGTGTGTGAGCAAATATTTCTTAAGCAAGGATTTCTTAAAGTACCACAAAGCCCAGCAGGCAGAAAATATTCACACAACATATGTATTCATACTAAACATTTATAAATATGAAGAAAGAAATAGTATTAAAGTATAAAAGTAAATATGTATAAAAATGTGTAGAAAAACGTGTGTGTGTGTGTGTGTGTGTGTGTGTGTGTGTGTGTATATATATATATACATATATATGTGTGTGTGTGTGTGTATATATATATATATATATATATGTGTGTGTGTGTGTGTGTGTGTGTGTGTGTGTGTATATATATATATATATATGTGTGTGTGTGTGTGTGTATATATATATATATATATATATATATGTGTGTGTGTGTGTGTGTGTATGTATATATATATATATATGTGTGTGTGTGTATATATATATATATATATATATATATATATATATATATATATATATATATTCATAGGAAACCAAATAGGCATTTTACCATATCCATCACAATGCCTCATGGGACTTGTAGTTTGGCAACAGCTGGAGGGCCGCCAGTTTGACACCCGTGTTGTAGAGAATCACCTCTGTATGAGTAAAGTAGGAAATGTTTAATTTTTCCATATTTTGTTATAGTTTGCAATGATGAAAACTGAAATTTCTGTGTTGGGTTGGGAGATGTGTTACATCATCCCCCTATATAAAGCATTGATGTTATGTGTTCTGCAGGAAACTCCCAGTCTCTCCAGCAGCAAAGGCTCCTCGGTCTTTGGGTTATCATTGGGTTTCTCACCTTCCTTTTACTGGAGAAAACCTTTTCTGATGAGCTAAATGAAGAAAAAGAGAAGAGTACCGTTCCAGTAAGTGATTTCTTATGTGTAGTAAAGAATCTTTAAAAGATATTGTCACTTTGCTATAAATGTATCTGTAGAAAAAAACAAAACCGTGCGCACTCTCCTCGTGCATTAACGCAAAAACCATACATTTATTAAAGAGATGCAAAAACATACTCACAAGGCATAAAGGTCATAAAAACTGAGACCAGAAGTCAAAGGTGCCAATTGTGGACAGCATGTGTCCTCAGCTAAAGTGCTAACGCGTTTTGGGAGTCAAACTCCCTTCCTCAGAACAATAGGTGAAGGTGCAATGCATTGGAAGGATGCTTATATACGGAACTAAATGGCAGTGGCCACTGTAGATTGTACGCCCCTTGAGGGTTAGGGACTGATGTGAATGTACAATATATATGTAAAGCGCTGCGTAAATTGACGGCGCTGTATAAGTACCTGAAATAAATTGATAAATAATCCAGGATGTGAACACAGAGCTGAGCTGTGGGTGGGATTGCAGGGTACTTATTATTATTATTATTATACGGTATTTATATAGGGCCAACAGTTCACTCAGCGCTGTACATTAGAGTGGGGGACAGAACACGAGACAGTACAATAACAATACAATGTGATACACGAGGGGTTCGAGGGCCCTGCTCCTTGGAGCTTACAATCTAGGAGATTATGCCTAAGTAGAGTTCTTGAATGAGGACATTGCACACTGAGCCCCGTATGCTGTGTTTAGAACTATGATGGAAATCTGACAGCAGCTTGGGAGGAGCAAAGATTGCTATAGTGTGCCATTTGAGTCTGCTGGGGCTGCTGACATACAACATGGCCGCACCCAACAGCAGTCTCAGGGCTTTTGGATGTCAACGAAAGAGGCTTTAGCAGGTAAATAGCTTGTCGAACACATGTTAAATCCACCTATAATCTTCTGGAAAGATTATTATTGGAATTACAGTCAGGTCCATAAATATTTGGGACATGGACACAATTCTAACATTTTTGGCTCTTTACACCACCACAATGGATTTGAAATAAAACGAACAAGATGTGCTTTAACTGCAGACTGTCAGCTTTAATTTGAGGGTATTTACATCCAAATCAGGTGATTGGTGTAGGAATTACAACAGTTTGCATATGTGTCTCCCACTTGTTATGGGACAATTGGCTTCTCAGCTGTTCCATGGCCAGGTGTGTGTTATTCCCTCATTATCCCAATTACAATGAGCAGATAAAAGGTCCAGAGTTCATTTCAAGTGTGCTATTTGCATGTGGAATCTGTTGCTGTCAACTCTCAAGATGAGATCCAAAGAGCTGTCACTATCAGTGAAGCAAGCCATCATTAGGCTGAAAAAACAAAACAAAACCATCAGAGAGATAGCAAAAACATTAGGCGTGGCCAAAACAACTGTTTGGAACATTCTTAAAAAGAAGGTGAGCTCGGCAACACCAAAAGACCCAGAAGACCACGGAAAACAACTGTGGTGGATGACCGAAGAATTCTTTCCCTGGTGAAGAAAACAGCCTTCACAACAGTTGGCCAGATCAAGAACACTCTCCAGGAGGTAGGTGTATGTGTGTCAAAGTCAACAATCAAGAGAAGACTTCACCAGAGTGAATACAGAGGGTTCACCACAAGATGTAAACCATTGGTGAGCCTCAAAAACAGGAAGGCCAGATTAGAGTTTGCCAAACGACATCTAAAAAAGCCTTCACAGTTCTGGGACAACATCCTATGGACAGATGAGACCGAGATCAACTTGTACCAGAGTGATGGGCAGAGAAGAGTATGGAGAAGGAAAGGAACTGCTCATGATCCTAAGCATACCACCTCATCAGTGAAGCATGGTGGTGGTAGTGTCATGGCGTGGGCATGTATGGCTGCCAATGGAACTGGTTCTCTTGTATTTATTGATGATGTGACTGCTGACTAAAGCAGCAGGATGAATTCTGAAGTGTTTTGGGCAATATTATCTGCTCATATTCAGCCAAATGCTTCAGAACTCATTGGACGCCGCTTCACAGTGCAGATGGACAATGACCCAAAGCATACTGCAAAAGCAACCAAAGAGTTTTTTAAGGGAAAGAAGTGGAATGTTATGCAATGGCCAAGTCAATCACCTGACCTGAATCAGATTGAGCATGCATTTCACTTGCTGAAGACAAAACTGAAGGGAAAATGCCCCAAGAACAAGCAGGAACTGAAGACAGTTGCAGTAGAGGCCTGGCATAGCATCACCAGGGATGAAACCCAGCGTCTGGTGATGTCTATGCGTTCCAGACTTCAGGCTGTCATTGACTGCAAAGGATTTGCAACCAAATATTAAAAAGTTTGATTTATGATTATAATTCTGTCCCATTCATTTTGATCCCTTAACAAGTGGGAGACACATATGCAAACTGTTGTAATTTCTACACCGTTCACCTGATTTGGATGTAAATACCCTCAAATTAAAGCTGACAGTCTGCAGTTAAAGCACATCTTGTTCCTTTCATTTCAAATCCATTGTGGTGGTGTATAGAGCCAAAAATGTTAGAATTGTGTCGATGTCCCAATATTTATGGACCTGACTGTATTTTTCTGGCCAGAGGGTCTCTTTTACTACAGTGTTTTGATCCTTGACATCCTTTTTTTACATGGAGGAATCTTGAGCACAATAGCAGGAGTGAGGGGAGCAGGTGGATTAGGGAACTCTACATGTAAATGTGTCTTGTTTTTCAGGAAACTTACTTTTCATTATCTTGTTTCAGAAACTGGCTTCAGGAAGTTTGATGAATGGAAAGCATGATGTACGCAAGAAGGATGCAGCCAAAGAACAAAGCTCTGTAGGCAGCAATATTAAGGTAATTAGTTTGAATATACATTTTATTTTTCCTTCAAACCTCAGCTTTTTCTGAAAACAGGCATTCCCCTCCAAACAAACATGTAACATTACAAAAGTTCTAGCAAACATATCCAATCCTGTTTTTATTCTGTGGATGAATAGGCCAGTGTTTCTCAACCTTTTTTTTTAGTCAAGGCACCCTTTAAAATTATGGACAGTCCCATGGCACCCTTTAACCACAAGCCTACCGGGCACTTATACCCCCTTCATGCCCAGGCCAATTTCCAGCTTTCAGCGCTGGTGCACTTTGAATGACAATTGCGCGGTCATACAACACTGTACCCATATGACATTTTAATAATTTTTTTGTGACAGAGCTTTATTTTGGTGGTATTTAATCACCTCTGGGTTTTTTATTTTTTCTTAAACAAACCAAAAACCACTGAAAATTTGAAACAAAATAAAGTTTTTTTCTTAGTTTTTGTTATAAAAGTTTGTAAATAAGTGATTTTTCTCCTTCACTGATGTGTGCTAATGAAGCTGCAGTGATGGGCACTGATAGGCTGCACTGATGGACACTGATAAGTGACACTGATGGTCACTGATGAGGAGGCACTGGTAGGTGGCACTGATGGGCACTGAAAGGCAGCACTCATATATGGCACTGATAGGCGGCACTGACTGGCACTGATAGGCGGCACTGACTGGCACTGATAGGCGGCACTGACTGGCATTGATAGGTGTCACTGACTGGCACTGATGGGTGACACTGAAAGGCAGCTCAGATGGGCACTGATATGTGGCATTGATGTGCACTGGTAGGCACTGATATGTGGCATTGATGTGCACTGATGGGTACTGGCAGGTGGCATGAATGAGCACTGACAGCTGGCACTGATGGACACTGACAGGTGGCACTGCTGGGGCTACACAGATCATCAGGGCACACTGATCATCAGTGCCCTGATGACCAGTGTACATGTCCCCTCTGACGGATGCCGATTACCGGCTCTCCTCTCCTCTCGAGCTGTCAGCGTGACAGCTCGCGAGGAGAGAAATGCCAATAACCGGCATTTCCCTATTTACATGCGATCAGCTGCGATTGGACACAGCTGATCACATGACCGAGCCGACCTCTTCGGCTCTTTCCGTTGATCGGTGATCAGCTGTGTCCGAGGGACACAGCGCACCACCAATCACTGCGCACTCCCAGAGCCACGCATTCGCGGTTAGAATGGGAGGTCGTCATATGACGTCCTCCCAGAACGAAAGAACCACCTTGCGCCCGTCATTGTACTATATGGTGGGCGGGAGGGCAGTTAAAATTATGGACAGTCTTGAGGCACCCCATTCTAAAATGGGGTGCCTCAAGACTGTCCATAATTTTAAAAGAGGCACTCATTCTAAAATCTGAAAAACTATTCTAATAGTTTTATATAACGCAGCAACATCCACACATGTAGGACACCCAACATTAGAGGTGATTTATTCTTCCAAAGCATGCACACTTTTGCACACTGGTACTGACTAGTATTCCAGGGTTTCTCTTCTCCCTCAGTTTTTTTCCATCACCGAGCTAATGTGACCCCAGCACTGATGGAGGGGGCAGGGGAGGGTCAAACTAGGATGCTGTGCAGGCAGCTGACATCCTCATTATCAACTGATGTCATTGGTTCTCAGGTCGCCAGCGGATAGAAGGTCGTAATGGTGTACAATGAAAATTTGTAACTTTGTATAACTAAAAGGCAGGCTTGTTCCACCCTTTGGCTTGTATACAAGTTTTGGCCAATTTTTAGACATGCAAAGGCACCTCGAAAGAGACCTCAAGGTACCCCAGGCTGCCCCATGTACTCTGCAATCTTATCTTAAGTACTGTTATTAACTGCTCAGTTCTCTGTGAACTACAGAACACCTTCCCCATGTTGTGAAGAGAAAGATAGAAGTGTGTTCTCTTCCATAGTTTATAGTGGAGTCTGGTAATCTGTAATAGGGGCCTGCATAAGAAATATATACATTTTGTGTTTATTTCAGGTACTTATATAGCGCCGTCAATTTTTGCAGCGCTTTCCATATATATTGTACATGCACTTCAGTCCCTAACCCTCAAGGGGCGTACGATCCCTAGCTCACATTCATACATACACATACTAGGGCCAATTTAGACAGGAGTCAATTAACCTACCAGCATGTCTTTTGAGTGTGGAAACAGGAATACCTAGAGGAAACCGGCACAGGGAGAACATGCAAACTCCAGGCAGGTGGTGTCGTGGTTGAGATTCGAACCAACAACCCTAGTACTGCCAGGTGGAAGTGCTAACCACTTAGCCACTGTGTTCATTTTGTATCTAAGTGCAGTGAGTGCAAGAGTTTCCTAACAATATTCTTTAGGCCCCTTTCACATGTGCAGGCGGACCTTCGGAAGAAAGGAGCTTACTTTGTCCTCCCCTTTTTTTTTTTAAATTATAAATTCATAGTAAGCAAGAAACAATCAGATGGCTACATCCTGAATATTCAATTAGCACAGAGGTTACATACAGGTACATATAGGTCTGATACGGTTATAGTAACTGTTACAAATGGTACCAGATTTTGGAGACTGTAGTTGCTACTGCCAACTAATATTAATTTATAAATACACAATGAGCTTCACAATTTATTTTTATCATTTGGAGCCTGTGTGTTGGACTTTGGGCTTCTGTCAAAGACATCAGTTTGAGATGCTTCTGAGATCATTCAGGATCATTGATAGCTGTATTTGACCTGCAGGTGACTTCCTTCTGATCTGCATTTGACCTGCTTCAAAAGGGTTTTGCATTGCCATGGACTAGTATGGGAGGAAAGACCTGTGTGAAGCAAAGCCTATTGATCAGGCCCTTACTCTGCCAATTCACTCTGTCATGTTAGACTAAAGAATGTAACAAAATAAAAGCAGGCCTTTTCTGTATAGTTATTGAACAGGAAGTTAACCATGGGTGAAAATATCTCTGCCACTTACATGAAGTCCTTTTTCAGGTTTACCATGAATGCTGTGATTATATAATCTTTTGCATAAATAATGTTCAAGGGATTTTTATATACTTCATTAATCTGATGGCTTGTTCATCACAGGTCAGTGGCTATCTCAATCTCCTGGCCAACACTGTTGATAATTTTACACACGGTATGGCGGTGGCAGGCAGTTTTTCTGGTCAGTAGAAAGGTAAGTGGTGTTGTTTCTCAATTCTTCTGTTTTTTTAGGGACTTAATGAGTTACAATAGATAAACAAGCTGACAACACAAAATGTTTTTCTGTAAAGATTCCTTGTAGTAATCATTAACTGATATTTTGTTAGCGTCTGTTGCCTAGATAAGTTTGCCCATTTGTTCCATGCTTATAGCCAGCTCATAGATGATGATTGCAGTGTCCTTAAACAGCACCTCCGCAAATAGAAGGGCACCTCCCTTCCAATGTATACCTTGTCGGAAATATATCTGTTGTGAAGTGCTTGACTTGGGGGCTAAACTACCTGTCAACCACAATTCAGGCAGAGTGTCTCTGTGGCTAGTTAGTGAACCCTCACTGGGCAATGAGAGGATGGATCGGTTTCTAGTTGATTGACAGTTCCATCTCTGGGTAGCAGCACATTACTTTAGCCATTTAGTTTCAGGGGAATATTCAGCTTGCTGGATCTTTGCAACCATTTGCTACTTTTTTACCCTAGGACTAGGGTGGTGTGTTGGGCAACTGGTTGCTTTCTTGGCTTTCTCTCTTAAATGTGATGTATGTGGTTAATAAACAAAATACATACTTGGCATTGGTATGATGTTGCAGCTAGCTGTAAGACCAAGAACTGAGTGACCACATGGCCACTGATCGTTCAGCTTTTGATCCTGTCAGAATGGAGAGCAATGACTGTCAGTCAGTGTTCTCCGCTCTGCCCCTCCAGTACTCACTGAAGCAGGAGAGGGGGAGCAGGCGCAACTGGTTTAGTTTCAGCGACACGCTGAGAGCTGGAGCCAGCTGTGAATCGGGCAGCTGGGTGGATCCCAACAATATGGTCGGGATCCTTTCAGAGCCTGGAGCGGCTCTGTGACGTCAGACGACATCGTCAGCCCACTGTCAACTAATTCTGGGTTACAGGAGAACAAAAGTAAGTGCACTGTTGTGACCCACAAGAGAAATATGGCCAAAAGCTATGGAATTTTTTTTTTTGCAATTAGCTTTCTACACAAGCATGCATGTTTATGCAAAATCCCTATTTCTTTAAAAAAGAAAAAAAAAGTTTTATTCAGCAATATGTTTGTTCTTGCATGACTGACTAACTTTACATTCCTTTTGTTAAATGACGTTATATGTAAGTTGAAGTTTCTGACCATTGATAAGGTCAGGGTTTCTAACTGTCTTGTTTTCACTATTGCTTTTCAGGTTGGAATACTCACAACCGCAGCCATTTTGTTGCATGAGATTCCCCATGAGGTCAGTCCCACTTCTGATGATGTGTTTTAGATGAATGCTTAAATCGACCCTGTGACCACTGGGAGAAAATAAAAGTGAAATCATCCTGTGGAAGAAGAATGCAGTTAATTAATTACAATTTATTTTTTTTTTCCTGTAGGGTAGACGTAGGGTGTTTTTTAGTAGCAATGGCTATTGCCTGCCATCCACCCTGCTGTAAAACAATTGTGAATGAATTACATGTCAGTTGAGACCAGGGGAGGACTGACAACTCATGGGGCCCCCGGGCAATAGGGGTTCATGGGGCCCCTGTGTCCTTGAACACACTCAAAGCAAACCCAAAAAAGCCTATAAAAGGTACCAGGGGCATTTCATGGTGCCCCCTACTGACCCTGGGCCCTCGGGCAGTGCCCGAGTGCTCTAATGGTCAGTCCGCCCCTGGTTGAGACACATACTGTGCATATGTATATAATATTATTATTAATATATTTTTTTGTTTTTTGATGGCTTTTTGTGTAAGCCCTAATTTTTTTTATATGCATCTTTAGGATGTGGTGCTGGGATGAACAAAATAGGGGATATGCTGGTTTGAAATATTATGAAAGATGTTTTATATTTTATACTTTCATGTCCTGCAGGTGGAAGGTTAAATCTTTGCTCTCTTGCAGAGGTGCAGGCACCACTACTATCTGACTCTTTCGGGTGTGTTGGATAACAAGATACCCCTCTCCAACATCACCACAGAACACATTATTGACGTAGGGGCAGGGGCAGACTGACCATTTGGAAACTCAGGCACTGCCCGAGATCCCAGGGTCAGTAGGGGGCCCCATGAGATGCCCCTGGTACCTTTTTCATAGGCTTTTTTGAGTTTGGGCAAGGACACGGGCCCCATGATCCCCTATTGCCCGGGGGCCCCATGAGTTGTCAGTCCGCCCCTGCGTAGGGGTCAGTGAGAGTAGCGAACACACCTGACAGGGGTCCCACAATTTGAAACCCTTAACAAGTGTTGGATAGTTTTGGCCTTCGGAGCTCTGCAAGAGTGAGGATGTAACCCGCTGCCCACCGGACAGGTAAGTATAATGGTTCTTCTTCCACCACAGGGTGCATTTATTTTTATCTTCACCCATTTGCAAAAGATCAGTTTAATGGAAATGTATAGGTTTTTTTTTTTCCAATTATATTTTAGATATGTGACTGGAATAGGTAGTGAAAAAAAATTTTTTTACTTCTCTCCAACCCATATGTATATAATTACCCAAAGCCCTAAGGCTAGGACCATAGCAATACACACTTATCAATTCCCTGCACAATTTATAAAAACAATTGTCCTAAATAAACATTTAATTCAGGACACACCCATGAGCTTGCATGACTTTTCAATACCAAAATCCAGCACTCTCAACATAGTAGCTGGCTGCCCGTTATCTAACTAGTTATGTACTTGGGTGCAGAGGGTAAGTGATCCTGAATACTTGCCATGATTTATATTGGCTTCTTATGCTGCAGCTTCGTCTCTGTTACAGGTCGGGGATTTTGCCATCCTCCTCCGCGCTGGTTTTGATCGATGGAGTGCTGCTAGGATGCAGCTGATGACTGCGATGGGGGGCATCCTGGGGGCTGGCTTTGCTGTTTGCGCTCAGTCACCCAAAGGGGCAGGTAAATTGATGCATGAAAGATATCTGGATGATCAGTGAATGGAAGGTTGAATCATCCCACACACATTTAATTTTCATTATTGTTGTACCTGTAGGAGAAGCAGTAGCTTGGATTTTACCATTTACGTCCGGGGGATTTCTCTACATTGCATTGGTTAATGTATTACCCGATCTTCTAGCAGAAAAAAGTATACGGTATGTAATTTGTTTATATTTTTTTTTATAATTCTTCTGGCTGAATTTTACCCAATGGCAAATTGGTGACTCCTGTATGTCCGTTTAAAGCTGAACTCCAGGTATGATTTGTATTGCATAGTTACATTGGTCCAGCTTGGAGCAATATAAGTATATTTATTCCATACCTGTGGGAGTGCTGTGAAAGCGTAGAATCACAGTAGTAGTTGTTGTTACTATAGTGATCGCTGCAATCGTCCAGGTTCTTTGTTGAGTGGTTGCCCTATTGCATAGTAACCACAGAGTGTCGCTTGTTTAGCATGGCCGCATTTCAGAGAACACCTTGCATTTTTCCTAATGCAATGTGTTCTCTGACTGGACAAGGTGGAGATCGTGACACCACTGCCTTGTCTATCCACTTTGTCCAATCAGAGAATGCTTTGTATTGACTGAAAACAATACAATTTGTTCTCTGGATGGGCGGCATGGGACCCAGAAGGCCGATTACTGTTTTAGCAATTACTACTACAGTGATTCAGCGGTCCCCCATGAAATATGTATGGTTACAATGACCAACCTGGACCAATATAACTATGCAATACAAACCATAACAGGAGTTCAGCTTTAAAGCTGAAGTATAATCTGTTTATATGTTGCCTTCCCTAGTTACTTCTTTCACACCACACCAACATTCTATTAAAATTGTAAAAGTAAACTTTTTCCTTTCACTTCATATCTTATCTTATGCCCAGTGACATCATTATGGGGACTCTATGCTTCTCTATGCAATGTAGGAAGATCACATCTGGAAGGGGCGCTGACAGGGTGCTTTAAATAAATATCTCTCACCCTGCCTTATTTGCCTGGTTCTTAAGGAGAGTTGTGCAAATATCAAAATGCCTCAATGGGTGGGCGTCAGTCTGGAGGAATGGGCATTCCTAGGCAATCTGCATCTGCATTCAGACTGCCCTAGGTAACGTCTACATGTGATGCTGAGCCTCCATGATTGAAAGAACTGAAATCTTGTGAGTTAAAGGGGTGCACCCTTTGTCCAGGGACACTCAGGTTGGGGAGGAAAATGCTAGATCACAGGTGTCAAACTTGCGGCCCTCTAGCTGTTGCCAAATTACAAGTCCCATGAGGCATTGCAAGACTGACAGAAGCATGACTCCCAAAGGCAGAGGCATGATGGGATTTGTAGTTTCGCAATAGCTGGAGGGCCGTCAGTTTGACACCCCTGGTCTAGATCAGGGGTTAAAATTTAGAGTCCAGACCTACTAGCCGGTCACGAAACTTATTCTCCACCAGTTGCCCCACCGAACCCCACCCCTGGTCCACCCCCAACCACACCCCCTTAAAGCTTATGAAATTACATTTTTCTTTAGAATAAATAGTCCAAAATATAAAACTGTACACAGTAATGTATATCTCAGCTCCCCTGTACTCTATTATAGTGTTAGGACATGTTGTATACAGTACTTGCTGTCCCCCCGAGTCCCCCGCGGCGGTGGAGAGGGTGTCTCCTCTCAGTGGAGGAGAGCGGACCTCTCCTGCACCTGTCCCCTCGGCGCGGTGGTGCCGCAGGAGCCGGAAGCTGTAAACCGGAACTCAGCTTCACAATGAGGCTTGGACCGCAGGTGTAGTCGCTCCATGCTTCATCTGTGCTCACCACTTGCCACAGAGGAATTTCTCCTCGCATTTGGCGAGCGGCTTTTTCAAGCCCTGGTCTAGATGATGCTGGATCTCCTCCAGCCAGGAAATGAGTCGGGCTCTATTTGACTTTCTATACTATTTAATGCACACTAGAAGAAGCTCACAGTATGCAGTGAAATCAGGGTAAGCCATTTCAATACAGGCAAGGAGCCTGTACAACTGTGCAGAACTGAAGCTGAGGCTGGAGTGCAGCTTTAAGTCCACAATACCCCATTCCATGAGAATGTTAATTAATGTGGGAGCAAAGCACTAGGATGGCACACCTCTGCATGGTTCTAGTTCTTGGATCCGGCTGTCAAAAAGATAAACAAATTACAGGTTTATAATCCTGCTAACTGGGACTGATCCATTTGTATTGGAGATCTAAGCTTCAATCAACAATCCATCTCTGCTGATAATCTCAATAAATAAACTCAAATACCAGAACTTTCCTTTGAATAAAAGCACTGTTTTGGCAGTCCACATGGCTCCAGTCACTGAGACATGATATATTTAAAAAAAATCAGCAATCCTGTGTGCCTTGCCTGTTTCTTCCACTGGTCATTGCTGCCATCTGAGTCATATGAAAATAATGGCAACCCAACTTCACTTCCTATCTATTCTGTCTGATTGGACTGTGTTTCTCTCTTCTCCAGCCACTAGATGGTGCAGTGCATATTGCCAGTGTACTGTATGATCTGCAGGAACATCTTAGTTGCCTGGCCAAGTCAGCAATTTTTATTGGAAAATGCATTTTGGTCAGCAGCTCAAAATATTGACTCATGAGGATCAGCATAATGCAGGCCATAGACTGGTCAAACATCGGCCGATTTTTCGAACGATAAACGAAAAATCGGTCGTTCGTTAAGCCGACATTACCACCAACGCTTAAAAAAAAAACGACCGACTAAATCATAAAGTTCACCCCATATAACAGCCAAACTTCTGTCCCTTGCAGGTCACAGCTCATGCGCAGATTTTTTTTTATCGTTAAAACGATTTGGCCATCATTGCCGGGAAAATCAGCCGTTTTTCCAAATCGGCCGCGAATTTCCCAACATGACCAATAATCTCAAAGTGCAAAAAACCCGAAAACCGGCCGACCAATTAACCCACTAACAGTGCGAAAATCAGCCGAAATAATTTTTCTTTCGTCCGAAATATCGGCTGATTTTCGAACCGTCTATGGCCGGCATTAGGCTATGTTCACACATATGTGGATTAGGGAACGTCTGCTAATCACATGTGTTCCCTGACCTGCAGGAAAGTCACGTTGGTTTTTTTGCAGATGTGTGAGGATGCCATTAGTTCTTTATGTCACCTCTATACATCCTGCAGCACCATGTGGTTCCATGCACCAGCGTTTTTCAGAAAGGGTCAGCACCTTTTTCCCTGCATTTTCTGCAGGTACAGCAGCCCATTCAAATGAAGGGCTGCTGTGATCGCACGAATTCAGCAAGCAGGACCTGCACAAATGTGAACCTAGCCTAACTTTGACCAGTGTGTTCAGGTGAAAAGGGCAGCAGTGGCAGCCTCCATGTTTTTTCTTGATGCACAGGCAACTAACATTGCAGAATTAGACATCACAAATGTTACTCTCAAAGAAAGTTTCCTTCTTGTTCTCAGACAGGGTTGAAGGGAGTGACAACAAATTATTGTAGTTGTCCGGTTTGCTAGGGAAATTCATTTGTATATTCAGGACTTGTACCAGCTCTCAGCAGTTAACAATAATTTTCCTGGAATGTTTGATTGATGATATTTGTCTTAGACACACAGAATGTTTACAGGTGACCAGTTGTGCTGGGATCAGCTATCTATTTGCTTTGCAGAGAGCAGGATAATGATTAGAACAGTATGTTTAAAGGAGAACTATTAAAAAAAAAAAAAAAAAAAGCCGCATCACTTAAAGTGACACTAAACTCACATTTATTATAAAATAAATACACTTCATAGAATTTACCTTCTATGGGCTCATGTACACGGGGTGTTTGGAAAACTCTTCTGAACGATGGAAACTGACTGCTGGAAAATGTAGGTTAATAAAGTCTGTTTAGCCACGTTTGCATACCGCGTTTCTGCTCGTTTGCGTTTTTTTAGAAGCGTTTTTTTTTTAAGATAACTTCAGGAGACCTTCCAAAATCCCCAGAATGCGCTGAAAAACAGTAAAAAATTTACTATTTCAGACATTTTGAGAGAAATAGAGCAGAAGCAGAGAGAGCAGTATGTGTTGAGATGACCTGTCTTTTCTGGTTGTATTCACTATGGATCCCATCATGAGCATAATGCGGCGCGTTCTACCATTTTTTCCTTCACACAAAACCTGGAACTGACTGCGCTGGTGTTCTGGGTCCATTTGAATACATAGAAAACAGTTTGCATGCATTTCTGATGATGAAAAAAGGCTCTGGACAGCATCTGGACATGGAACAGTTAAAAAAACGCTTATTAACGCGGTTAGCCGCGTCTACACACGTTTACAAGCGTTTGGAACACTGATGAAATCTACTCCTGAATGCAAGTTTGGTGCGTTCAAAAAAACAACTGTAAACTCAACTGCCTGTAAACGAAGATGTGTACATGGACACAGAGGAAAACATTAGGGAGAGTTCAGGCGCTGCTGAAAAAAAACTGAGAAAAGCTCCTGAACGTGAGTTTATCAGCTGCAGTGTACATGAGTCCTATCTCTCTCTCTCTTCCTTTGTTGCATCTCTAAAATGCAAGTTTTTTTTTTTCTGCTGTTCTCAAATTTCCTGTTCTAGGGTGGCTACATTTGTTCTCCATGCCCCCCTTTTGTGTATGGGAATGTAGTCACCCTTTCCTACTCATCCCCGGTGATGGACTTCACAGCTAGGTGCAGACACATAAAGCTCTATGGAAATTGTAGTAAACATAGAATGGGGCATGTGACCAGAAATAACAGCACTGCTCACTAGTAGCAGTGAGGTGCTTCAGTGGAGGATAGGGTGTATGCATGCACAGGACACAAAAAGATGCCTGAAAACAACAGTTAGAGACTAAGATAGATCCGGGTCCTAATTGACATTTTGGCACAATTTAGTGTCACTTCAATCATGTGTGCATCTGCAAAGTCTCACAAATACTTATTTAGCCTGTCAGTGAAATCCACCTCATTGCAGCTTCCTGTGATGGTGTGGCAATGATGCTGCATTGTTCCAAAATCAGAGCAGCATTGTCCGCTTCATGTGGGCTGCTTGCACTACGGATAGCAGAGAAGACATTGTAAGGAACAGAAAGTGCTATTAGCATTGTTACTGCTGATTCATTCGATTGGAGCCTGGCAATCAGCACCTGGCTGCACCTAGTCCTGGC